GACTCGTGTTGTCCTCCAATTGGTTCATATAAATCAAGTCCAGGTTTTGTATGATATTGAGTCCCAGACTGTCATTACTGTCGCCACTACTGCTGGTGCCGGCGGTGCTGTCGTCGGTGGCGTAACCACAAGCGATCTGGTCGTCATCGCCGCCGCCGCTGACACCGCGTCTCACCATATCGTCCATCTGATCGCCACTAATGGGTCCACCGATCGGACGATACAATCAATTTGATTGACTGTCCAAATGAGAGACCAATTAAAACAGAAAACAAATGATGTGTTTCTTTGAGACAATGTGTGAGTATTTGTGGCCCAAAATGTGACCCAATATGAGGTGACAATCGGTTTGGCGTTTGAAAGGGTTTAGAAATATTTCGTCATTTGATTTGTCGCTCAGTTTTTGCGAAATTAGAAATGAATGGCAAAAATGCAATGCATTTACGATTCAATACAAAGCCTGACAACAGATGGCATCCAATGTCTCAACACTTTCCCAACACTTCTCCCGACATGTTTCGGTCCAAACCACACGCCATTCACATATAGTGTTACGACTTTATATATATTTATGCCACCATTTTGTCACAATAAGTGTAATAAATATAATTTTTACGCAAACAAATTAATTATTAATCTTGATAATAATTACCATAGATTAATTGTACTTTTTCTCACGATTAAATCATATATTCATTAAATCTACCACATTAAATCATTATTAAATGTGTAATTTTGTGTCCACCCAAACCCCATGCAAAACGGTTACGTTGTTTGCGAGCGTTGTGTTGTTTCACTGCCATTGAATTGATATTGAATTCATTGAATTTAGTGTTAAATCAGTTTTAATTGTATTTCAAAACACATTTAAACCGATTATACATTAAATCCATTGTAAATACCTTTTAGATTAAGTGATAATCAATTGAACCGCAAATATGTTGTGCTTAACATCCAAACTGATCACTACATCCACACCACTCACTATCGGGTAAATAATAATCACTCATTGAATCAAATATCGTATGATTTAATCACACAATCTGTCGATCCGTTTCTCTCTTAGTGTCCAAACCCGAGGAATGGCTACACTTAAAGACAGTAATGAATCCTACGATACACACGACATGTGTGTTGATTATAAGAGATGCGATAATGTGTTGTATTTTGTTGTGTCCTAACAGTCAGAATGCGGCTCAAGTCTGTGACCAACATCCAGAAGATCACGCAATCCATGAAGATGGTGTCGGCGGCCAAGTATGCGAGGGCTGAACGTGACCTGAAGTCCGCCCGGCAATACGGTCTCGGCGCTCAGGGTTAGCACAAGTGTTTAGCACTTAAACACACGGTTTCGTCCGTAGTCTCTAAACCCGTTTGATTTGGTTTTGTGTTTAGCTTTCTATACGAATACGGATCTAATCAAGAAGGACGAGGCGCCCAAACCGGGCACTCTTCTCATCGCCATCACCTCAGACCGAGGCCTCTGCGGTGGTGTCCACTCGTCGGTCGCCAAGAAGATCCGGGCAATCATGAGGACTGATCCAAACGCCGCTAATATTAGGATTGTATGCATTGGCGACAAATCAAAGGCTATGCTCGCACGGTATGTATGGCCGCCATCGGCGCTACTGTTGACCCCAGACGGCAGTATTGATGAAATGTTTTGGTTTTTTGGGTTATGTTTAGGCAATTCCCGCAAAACATACTAATGATGTTCAACGATATCGGCAAAAAGGCCCCGCAATTCGGCGACGCGACCACTATTGCCAACGCTATACTCGAGAGCGGACACGAGTTTACCGAAGGAATCATAATCTACAATAAATTCAAGTATTTATCTCTTTAATTGTTATAATGAAAGTCCGGTGTTGTGTGCCATTCGTTGAGCTGCTGTTGTACTCAATTTGCGGTGTGTTTTGTGTCCATCAGAACTGTTGTGTCGTATCTCACGAGCGAACTGCCGGTCTTCGGCGCCAAAACGATCGGCGCTTCGCCTAAAATGAATGTTTACGACAGTATCGACGACGACGTCCTCAAGTCATACTACGAGTACTCATTGGCGTCTCTTATATACTATGCGCTCAAAGAGAACGCCACGAGTGAACAGTCGTCCCGTATGTCCGCTATGGACTCCGCCAGTAAAAACGCCGGTCAGTCCATCGCTACCATTGATTTGATGTTTAATTGATGTCTCAATTGTTTGATTTGATTGCGATTTTTGTATTTTCAGGAGAAATGATTGGCAAACTGGCGCTTCAATTCAACCGCACCCGACAGGCGGTTATCACTAGAGAGTTGATTGAGATTATATCGGGTGCGGCCGCTCTCTAATATGCACCGATAGTTAGCATTTTAGCCATAAAAACCTTGTTTTGGTTTAATTGTTAGTTTTGAAAATATATTAAAATTATTGAAAAGCATTTTAGGTATTTTTTGAATCAATTATTTAAAATGGCTTTTTGAATGAGTAAATCAACAAAAATAAAGTTTTATTTAATTTCTCTTTCAACTTAATGTATGTTTAGATGTGTTTTTGTTATTAAATAATTTATAAATTAGTCATATTTATAATTTTAATGATAGTAATTTTGTTGAACCAATTTTAGAGTCGAAACACATTTTCTGTTACTTTCATCGATTCAATTATATTTATTATTATTCAAAGCCTTACATAAGATGTGACAATAGATTGTATGAAAAAGTGTCAAAATTTCCACTTTTGAAATGTTTGGTCAATACTTTATTGAATCATTGAAATTGAATTTTATTGTGTATTCAATAAGATTTATATCCAATGTATTCGCTGTTAAAACAATAGACTTTACTTTTTTTGTTTTGTTATTTGTTTTTTGTCGAGAGATTTAAATGTTTGCCAAAGATATTTGTTTTTGAGCAAAAGGATTGCATTTCCTATTTCTCATGGCTTTTGATTTCTTTAATATTTATTCAATTGAATCGAAAACACAGAATATGAAAGTTTTTTTACTATAATATAATATTTGCTAAATGACCTGTATTTGTATCGTTTTGTGCGATTCACATAATCTCTCTCTCTCTCTCTCTCTCTCTCTCTCTCTCTCTCTCTGCGGACGCAAATGTGATCCAAAATAGCAACCATTTGTCAAATAATGAATGGTCTGTAATAAGGATGTGATGTTTGAGTTAAAGTTTCAATAGAAAGAAGTGGTGATAACGAAAAAAGTTTGAGAATTTTATATTTTATTTTCCGATATATCATATGATATATGGTATGGAGAAAGAGAGTATTATATATGGTATCGTAAATACTGAAGAGAGAGAGGGAGAGAGAATCGGATCAATAAAACCAGGAGAGAGTGAGAGTGCGATACCTATAGTCTCACAGAATGGGGGGAATGGCTGTCATATACTGTAATGAAAAGGCGAAAGGGCTGGTAGTGTTGTGTTTGGTGGCGGCGGTGCTGTAATATCAGCCGATATATTGGTTTTCTCATAGCGTTTGGCGCTCTGAGAACTTCGCGGCACTCCTGCCGTCCAAACGCTGAGGAAATATTATTATTATATGTGTTTGGGATTTGAATTCGCGATTCAGTTATGACTTGTACTCTAAGAACAAATTCCTGTATTCCCAGAATTTTTTGCTTTTGTTGTTTCGTTAGGTTTTTCTCACATCTTCTGAAACGGATTCATGAATTTTTTTATTATTTTAAATTCAAATTTATTTCCTTTCGTAACAAAAGAAGAAAAAGAAGAAAATAAAAATATACCTCAAAAACTAATTCCTGAATCTTTATTCACTTAAAATATTTGGCCGAATATTAAGTCTTTCTTTAATGCAATTTTCTGCTCTTTTGAATCGCGTATAAAAATATGAATTACTTTTTTATGATTGTTTGGGAAAAATATTTTTCTGTATTAAATAATGTCTAGACTTATAATTAAGAATTTTGATAACATATCTATAATGTATAGTCCGGTCCTTTCACTTAAACGTTTGGATCAAAATATAAAATACCTCAGAATTATTATTATGAAACCCAAATACTTTCAGTATTGATGAAAGATGAGAGAGAGAGAGAGAGAGAGAGAGATTACACGATGTAATGCCTGGCCTGGCATTCATTGATGGCATTGAGACCAGACTTCGATCGACGACGACGTCTTTGTCTGAGCGCATGACCCGTCAGTCCGATAGCTCTCGTAATTTTCACACAATCGATGCCGAGAGGGAGAGAGAGAAACGGTGAGGGAGTGAGAGGACAGTTATGTGGGGCAGTAGTAGTAGAGCGCAGGAACAGATCCAAAAACTAGTGCCAGTAATTGTAAGGCACCGAAAAAAGCAGTCCATCGCCGCTGACACCACTGCCATCGCATCGGAATCGTTGTGAAACACACCGTTTCAGATGCGCTGTCTATGTGTGCGAAACACAAGAATCCACACAAGAATTACCATTATTTGTATGATATAACGACTTCTCTGTTGTGTGTATACGTGTGTTGTGTGCGAGTATATCAACCTATTCTCTCGCCACTCGGCGTTCATCGGATACAAACAGATATCCAAACACACAGCAAAAAGCACTGTATTTATTGTCTATGTTTTCCAGTGTTTGTTTCATTTATAATTCCGTCGATTTTTTTTCGCTCTCTCTCTCTCTGTTGAGTGCAATACACGAATGGAGGGCTAAAATAATTTATTAAATAAAATGTTTTTTCACTTACATTACAAACACTCGTTCAATGCATCCGTCGATTAACGGCAACGCTTTTATCAGAATATTCTCGCAGTGTTTTCTACTACTCGTGTGTCGACTCGATTGCTGGCAAAAATATATTTCTTTCCCGTCATTAAGTCAACAATTTTTATGCTCTCATTATATTTGTTTACAAATGAATTATTGAGAAATATTCTGATTTTTATCGACAATATAAAGCTTTTTCTCATTTAGTTTTTTTTCGTTCATTGTCTCCATCGCTGAAACACTTCGGGATTTACTCTCTTTTTACTATATATTTATAATACACTCTATTATTAAATTTAATTGAGTGTCAGTTTGAAATGATGTGTGAAATTACTTAATAAATTATTACAATTATTCATTCATATCTTATGGATGTATTATAGTGTGTGTAATAAATATGAAAATAATAATATAAATTAATCAAATATTAACTAACAATTTATAACTCAATCTTCAGTGTGTGCTTTTCCAATAACCATTTATTTGACCAAGAGTAATAAAAATAATAACTTTTATTTACATCTATACTATCGGTTATAAGTGAAAGAATTGTAAAGAATATTCCGTTAGAATAACTCTAGAAATATTGGTCTCAATATATATAACAATTTAGTTGTAGTCCTATTATGGGAAATGAAGAAAGCATTGGCCAAAGCGGAGAATTCGGTCAATTCGGTGCTAATCCTGGTTTAAATCCCGGTGTGAATATGTCCTCGAGTTT